AGGTCGTACTCTTGGGGTCAGTAACAGAAGTGGTATCATGGTGCAGATAGGTAAGAGGGTATAGCGCAGCAGAAAATGAAAACATCCGAAAAAAAACATGATATTAAATTTTCTTTGCAGGTTCAGTCGCTCCATTCCTCCACCTTCATGAGAAGGGCGTATTTGAAGGCAGTACAAAGAATGAAAGTGCATCCCCGCAAAGAAGAGTGCCACATGTGCGCACGCGCTGCAAAGGCACCTCCTCCGCCTATCACTCGCTCCTTCTCCCTTAATACCTCGCTGAGAATGACGCTGTTGTTAGGGACCCTGTCGGAAAAACGACAACCGTGAAGAAAAAGCGCTGGGCAAATGAAGTTGTTTTTTAGGTTACAGGAATAGCACAACACACTATGTCTACTACAATACAGTTTCGTTCGAAGGTCCCCATCATATAACACCTTTCAATCGATTCTGCAACTGTGAGTGGAGGAGGGATGCATGGCTTATACCAATACCAAATCGGATGATGACGATTGCTCCTATTCTTATTGTTTGCGTTCAAAGATATTGTTCTAGACACATTCCGAGTGTTGCCAACGAGTCACACTTGCAATGGTGAATGAGGGAGCGGGTTTCCAGGTGGCCGGATCCGACCTCGATAGATCCTCGACGCAATTATCTCTTCAACCAAAAAGCTGTAGAAGAAAACTAAACAGACCATCAGGAAGCGCAAACCTTCCGCTTTCCAAAACTATCTTCCCTTTTTCAGGATCTTACAATATAAGAGATATATTGCTCTTGAAGTGGCAAAAACTCGCGTGAAAATTTCGGCCTCCTCGACATTTACTCGACGAAATTTGACAGACCCTATCTTTCTGCAAGGAAGGCTTCCAGAGCAATTTCGATGCTTGTTGGAAACGCGAAATCCAGCTCTATCTAACTCTACCTCAAGCTGCTTCAAAGGTTGTGAAATGGAGGAATGCAACCTTTTCATCGAGGGTGTAGATTCGGACGTTTTTTTTTGAAATTTCGGCAAATCTGACCCAGTGACAATCGCGCCGCAGCTGCCGTTGAATCGGCCTTTGATACACTCGGCTGTTTTGATATACTCAAGCAAGAATCAAGATTGAATCGCAACCCCGTGTCTTCAGGATTTCTGTGCGTTTCTGAACGAACCTCGCCTTGAGGTCACACAAAGTTAATGCCTCTTTCCTCGAGTCGATATTTCAGTATGTACACAAAAGTATGCAGCGATGGAAGACGTGCATAGATGACAAGATGAAGCGTCCTTAGCATTATTTTGCAGAATTTTTGATTGTTTGCAGGATTTATTTTAATTGAATTAATTTGCTCTGTTAGAGGGGGTCGTGCCAGGATCTCGATTTCGGGGGGGGGGTCCGTACCTCTGCGACCACGTACTCGACACGATTTTCACCCTGCTTGAGAAGCCAGCTGAGCGTTATGGAAAGGTGATAGACATAGATGGTGAATATACAATTGATTGAGTCTACTAAACAAAAAGCTAAAAATGAAATCATACTAAACAAAAAGCTAAAAATAAAATCAAAGTTGGGTAAAGGTGTTGCAGGACTCTTTCCAATCTTTCAATTACAAGCAGCAAAACGACGCATTCTCGAGGATCAACTGACTCGTCTTCTAGTTGTTGGCAGGATATCGAAGGTGGAGAAGGAACTTGCCGAATTGGTCTACCCCGGTGAAGAAAAAGACGTGATCTATCGAGAGCGTGACGTTAGTTTTTGTCAGTGCAGCTTCTCCTCTGCTTGCAATGTTTTTCGCGCATTTTGCTTTTTTTTCGGTGTGCTACTTTCTAATCACATCAGTTAATCGGCTTTCATTACCAAGCCACCGGTAATTAATGGCTCGGAATACCGTATTAAGGTTAGCGTAATGAAGTCGATCTGTACTGTTTCAATCGGACCTCGGAACAAAATATAGTCACTAATATGCAGAAAAACCGCCTTCATCCCGCGCAGGATCGCGATACCTTAAAGGAGGAATTCACGATTAGAATGAAGGTCGAAGAAAGGGAAACTGACCTAGTTGAGGGACCCACGGACCTCCTGAGGGTGCGAACTGACGCGCAATTCGCATGGAAAAATTTGACCTCGGCGACCTATCATGCCTCAAAGCTGGCGGGTCCGGCGATCTCCGCCCACCGATCATCTGATCACTCGCCGTAGTTCAATACGTGGCGAGTGATTAGATAGCTGAGAGAGCGTAGTGTTGAAGAGGGCACAGCGATGAGAGTCGCATCAATGCTCGAATCAACGGGCAAGGAAGGGGTACCATTTCTCGGGTTCTGGGCCGTTTCTCATGGTTCTTCCTTCGTGTACCACTCACCATCCCTAGGTTAATTTGAAATGGGTTGCTTTTTCATCGTAAATCGTCCCTTAAGTGAGAAGCTTCCATCGAATGCATATGTTCACACGACATTTTATGCACACGTAGGGAGAAACCTATTCCGTAGAAGCGTTGTTCTATCAAGTAAGTCATGCGATGCCCGTCAAAAGCGACATGGACATGACTCATCCTAGCAACATTCCGCTGCAATGCCTTTGACCTTTAATACTGCCTTAAGTCTGGAACGAAACTTGGAATACACGAACCCTAATTCAAACCCTTCTGCCGTGAATCCATCTACAGGGAATCGTTGAAATCTGCTCAACATGAAGAGTATCGTAAGAGTAAGAACGAGAATGTTGGTGCAAGAGGTGTTGGTTCATCCTATCGGCATTATTACCTCTCATCAGCCAACTCCCTGCGCTTCATCCCACCCTCTCCCCATACAGGGTTGAATGTCGCTCGAGGATTCCTACCGCATGTCAGGATTTTTCGCAAGCCTGATCGCTTACGCTCTCCTGCGCGCGGACATTCACTCTCTCCATGCGCCGGCCTGCTCTCCGCGCGTTTGTTTAATCTCGGCACTACTCTCGCACAGTACACAGAGCCCCCAAATTGTTCCCCCCCCCCCCGAAGGACCATTCTGAAAGATTGAAATGTGACACGTATAAAAGGTGGAAAGTTCATAACTGTTAGCGAAGAATAGCTTCATACGTTATCCCTGATAGTCCCAAGTGCAAAGTCCTGACCGGCACACTTTCTCCGTTTAATTTTTCCCACTCTAGAAGCTGTGAAGGAACGTGACGAGTCTAGTTTGGAGAAAGCACGTCTCAAAGGGCAACTGGAAGAGGTGGAGAAAAAGGGAAATTACATGAGAAAACGTCCTTACAAGATATTTTCCTTTATCTGATTGTGAGTTATTCAGAATTGACTCTACCTTATGTTCAGATTAGTGATGCCATGACAGCGCTTTCCAGCAAGGAGATGAAGCAAGCAGAAAGTCTTTACCATGAAGTTGTCGTGAGCAAGATTGTTACGCAGGAGATGATTCGTCAAGTAACAGAAATATCCTATGGTTAGTTTCCTTTGACTTTGTTTCGATACGTTCGCGTGTTGCAGGATTTGGAGAAGTACATGCAGTGCCTTGACAGCTCCATCATTCAGTTTCACAGTGATAAAATGATTGCAATAAATCGAATTCTGATGATCTGTGGCGGAAAGTCTATGGTGGCACTGACATTCATCGTATAACTTCGTATAATGTAAAAACTCACTCTACTCATGCGTCACTCGTAACCATGCGCGATCCGCAGTCATGCGCTTGCGGAATTTTCATATAAACTGCGTCCCATAATTATACGTCCACCTCACGTTTATCGATTACTTTTCACTTCTGTTCCACGAAACTTTTTCATTGTGGTAACACTTCACTTCTTAAGGAACAGCATAATAAAGACTGCTGTTGGATTTTGAGAAAGGTTAAAATGTCGCAAAAACTGTTGAACAACGCGTAGTGTACGTGACAGGGGTGTGAAGCGCGGGACAAAGTATGTGAGATTGAAAAAGTCTTATCAGTTCCTGGAGCTGCTGCTACTTCCGAAGATTTTTAGCTGATGAGATGAGCTCTGAATATCTGACTTACATCTGAGATTGCTTAATGGTGCGATTGTTTTGCAACACTGGCAGAAGGCTGATGTTACCGAGAGATGAGATGGCTAAGCGGTAGCATCTTACACACTCCATGGGGTCGAATTTTCACCGCTCTGCACCAAGAAAGAAATACGCAACATACTCATCGTGGTAGCGTGGTTTATAGTTCGACTTTGGAGATTAGGTCATATACGATAGTCTCTAGGGAAGTAGGGACGTAGGGTATGTCCGTCTATATAGGTTACATGTCGACTAGAATCGCTGTGGAATAGTGGATTAGACGTCTTGAAGCGAATCGATCAATATGTATTTAATCATGTCAGCGCACTAGCCTAATCTACTACACTAATCTTGATGAATTTAATCGTTATTTATCTAATCCTTCTACACGGACGCCCCAATTACTGCTGTCCTGATCGCTACACGCCTCTAATCTCCTTGTCAAATACCGTACAGGGAGGGGGGGGGCAAAAAAAATCCCTATCAATTACATACAAACAGAAAAACTCCACCTTGCCAGACCAATACCGAATGAGCCAATTGCGTCTTGAAGACACATCCGATTATATCCCAAAATCCCTATAGGGACTTGTTAAGACGCGACGACATCAGGAATTGGATGATTTTCCCAATGGAAACTTGTCAAATACGAGCTCAAAACTGGTCGTCGAGAAAACCATAGATGATTGCGACGTCTCTGAAACGCTGGTCAAAAGCCATTTTGCATAGTCAGAGCTAGTGTCTCTAAGAAGTCATTCACCAGTTATCCGATTGAAGAATTTATGTAGCAGCTTCAGAATGGAGCGATTATGGTAGGCCTCCTTAAGCTCGACGGTGATGACAGATGACGTCATATTCTGGAGACGGTGAAGCAGCGAAGTGGGCCTGATCTACTCATGGGGGACATCTAAGGAATATTCCCGTAAACTCCAATAACAAAACACGGCATCTTTGCGACATTAACGCTTTGATATTATGCTTCCATTGACAAAGGACTTTTTTTGCCTCTCCATGCTATCAAACGCGGTCAGAAGAATTCGCCGCAACGTTTTTTGTGCTCACTCTTTTTTTTGCAAGAGATAAAAAATCAAATGGCCTCGAAATTTTTCCTATTCGTGTCTCTAATACTGCTCCAGCTTGAAGCAGTATAAAATACACCAGAAGCACAATATATCAATCTTTGGAGGTCGTTGCTCAACCGAGAAAAAATAATGCACTGAAAATCGTTCCGGCGAACACTTCTGATCGCTGCTCTATATTTTCCTTCGTGAATTATCCGACTCGCGGAGTCCGAATTATGAAACGCGCCGTCGGTGGCTGAGTCCTCAGAAAAGGTATATAAAACGCTTAAAAAATTAACTTTTAACTTTTTATAATGCTCTGTGGCAGACTGAAGCTGCAGCTGCGCAGCAGAACAACGAGCGCGCATGGGACGCAATAAGAACATCGAGGGAGTAGTAAGAAGACGAAGAACATCCGGCTCCGTGCCCACCTCTTCGATTCCGCTGTCCTTCCTGCCCTAACCTACGCCTCAGAGACTTGGACTCTGCGCAGGCAGGACGAGCATGCGGTCAGCGTTATCCAACGCGCTGTCGAGAGGACGATGCTAGGAGTAACCCTATATACACGCAAGTGCAGAGGGGAATCCGGAGTTCGGAACTACGCCAACGATCGAAGATCAGGGACGCTGCCGTTTTCGCCAAGGAATCGAAGATAAGGTGGGCCGGACACGTCATGCGATTTTGCGATGACCGTTGGACCAGAGCGGTTACCGACTGGATCCCTCGGGACGTCAAACGAACACCTGGACGACCGCCGGCCCGATGGTCAGACTTCTTCACGAAAGCTCTGAACGAAAGGAATGAATGGACTTCGTGTCCCTCGAGCGAAGGAGGATCCACTGGACCACTCTAGCACGCGACAGGGACGAATGGAGACGTTGCTGGCGCCCGCTCGAGCAATCGACGATCAACGGGACGACAGGTGATCAGTGATTCAGGTGTAGCTTGAATGCCTTGTAGGTGACTGAATGACTGATTCGAACACAGATGCGTGGTGAAACTCCAATAAGTCTGAAATACACTTTTTATTCCTTGTTCTGTTTGTGCTTTGGAAATTGTGGCCTTCACAGTGAACGTGTTCGTATTAGATCAAGAGGGTCAGCAACTACGGAAAAAAGAAAAGTCTATGACTATCGCGTTGTGATGGTGATAAAAAATGGAGTGGAGCTGGACATGAGGGATCGTTGTAGTGCTGGACAAAAAGTATGTCATTTTCTGTATTGTTTCAAATTGTTTCTTTTGCCGAGTATAAGTTGGACAGTCGGCGTTTACACTTATAACAAGCAGCGCCTTCTTTTTGCTCGCATACATTGGCCCAACCTGGTCGCACGATGCTGCATGTAATCCTTATCGACGCACATATCGTATTTTGGAGGAGCATGCCCGATACATTGCAGCTCGATAGCCAACAACAATCTTGATCGGCACTAAAGTGCGTTTCTAATACTTCAGGCATGAATGAGGTGTTTTCCAGTTCATCACTGTCTAGGGGAGCTTCGTTAGGAGGGGGCAACACTTGAAAAGTTAGGCATGAAACAAGAAAAGTATATAAATGAACAATGAAGATTTGATTATAAAAAATCTATAAGAGCAATTTATGCTCAATCAGACTCTGCCTGTGCTAGCGTCGCGCCGTAACATGACGAGACATAATCAGCAATTTATCCTCTCTAGCGGTCACGCTCCATTAGGTCTCTGTGAAACATTTATGTTGTGGTCGACTGCGAGGCGGGTCTCTCGGGAGCGTGTCGTCTGTTAACCGCGTGAGCGACCCTTTATCGCAAGCATTTCGAGGTAAGTGTGCTCCAAAATGTCACACGTACATTGAACGATTAAAACTGTGTGGTCAGAATTGAGAGCAGAGAGAACATTTTGTACCATTTATGTTTCACGTAGACGAGTAATCCATCTCCTACCTCCCCATCCACTCTCCGAACTTCGCGATAAAATAGGTGTGGAAAAGCGTTCAGTTATGAATCTAGAGGTGGGAGGTGGTCTGGAAGGAAAAGAAAGCAAAGGAAACCCCGATCACGCCCTAATAGGAACCTCCTCTCTTTCAGCCGCATCCACCTTGGGATAAAGAAGGGACGTGTTGGACGAGTTTCACGAACCAAGCTCCAGTCGCTCCAGTGTCAATGACATGCAAGGATACCGCGCACCCCGGCAAAACTCGCGACGCAGTCGCCGAACAAACGCAAATGTTCACATTGGTGTCTAAGCTATTGTGTCTTCTTCAAGCTGACGCAGGGTTTACCGATTAACGGAGTACGGATCTCTTTTAGATCACAGTCTCCATAAAGTTTGAACACGACTTTTATCTATTACATGAGGATTCTTTTCCAGGTAGATCACATCGCTGGAATGTTGAATAATCTGATCGCTGTTCGCAGGAGAGGCGATCGCAATAGGCAGTTTCAGGTGAGCGTGCTCAGGTTTTGTGGGAAATGAGGTGTCTGCTGGAGTTCTCGGCGTAAATGGCACGCCTTCGATCGTGTGTCTCCGCATCTTTGGTCTTTTTTCTCATCACTAACTTTTAACCTACCAATACTTTAATGGGTATTAGGGTATACGTAGTTTCCGGCAAAAATGTAACCAAATCTTTGAGACCCACAACAGTTCGGTAACCAAAGCACAATTCCCGACGCATGGCGGCGGTGTGCACCTTGTGGATCACGCGATTCTCATGTCTATTTTTAGACCACAATCAAACCATAATTGTAAAAATGCGTGCTTTTGTTAGAAAACAATATGGCGCTAAAGTGCTTATCGAGAAATGTGCTTAATGTGGGTCTATGCAATAAAATCGTAATGAGCGAAACTTTCGAACGAAATTCTCGCAGATGTAATAAGAATCTCTCGTTGAGTGAACTCTTTGTAAGCATGAGCACTACATACCAGCAAGCTTGAGCTCTTACACTGAATAGGCGCCCCCTCCCATTTTTGCCCCTAGTACAAATCAGTGCAGTTTTTTTTTTTCAAAAACGTTGATCCTTTTCGGAGTCACGCAATTGAAGGAAAATCTTGCCTATATGCAACTACGGCAGTTGACTTTCGAACACTCATATCACCCATGTAATAACAAACATCGCACCGAATTTGGGAAATGCAGCATCTCATAGACGTCGGAAATTTCATACGCGGAGTTTACAGTGAAGTTAAAGCTCATTAGGAATAAAGGTAGAGATGGTCAGTGGAGCAGGGATGAAGAAGAAACTAGGAGGATTTGCCCAGAACTTGAAATGGAACCTTTATTTGCCCGTTGATCTTGCGTTTTGGTGAATCTCATCGGTGCTGCCCTCTTCAACGCTAACGCTCTCTCTGCTAGAACGGCTAGAGACTCAGACACGAGACGACGAGAAGGGGAGGCGTACCGCGCCAACAGTGCGCCGCGAGAGGGCCATGCTAGATCGCTGTGGTATGTCTTTCGTTGCGAATTACATTTCAGTCCGTACCTTTAGTGAGTCTCTTTCTTGCTACGTGTAATGAATCAGAGATATAAAAAACTGTGGCAAGAATCAAAAGCACTTCAAAACTCAGT